ACACAAAGACTATTTTACTCCCATGTTCCCATTCAGGTTTGTTTTTACCAAAATGATGTCCTTGTATAAATTAAAAGGGTTTAAATGCATGGATGTTCTACCTCTTGATAATTGATCCTGTTAATATAAACCTAAATTAAAAACAAACCGAAATAAACATTTACAATGAATGATCATCAAACACTAAAAAGATATAATACCATTGCAAGCCATCAAACCTAATACTGTTTCAGTAGAAGTTTGGGGCAAGAAAGTTTGCAATTTGCTTCTGTGTATTTGTGTGAGCAGCTTAACATTTCTAAATACTGTAGAGATGCTGACAGGCTCTGAGTTTTCAAATGCTTCTCTGTTTGTGAAGCTTGCTGAGAGTTTATCATATTATTCTTCTGTTCTTCAAAGGAAGAAGTGGGCCATCAACACTGTATACACCACGCTGTGGTTAGCAAGATCTAACTGGCAGAACCATTTCTCGACTATGTGTGTGTTCTGTCTGCTGCCCCCCCCCCCCCCCCAATAACTTTGGGTTGAGATCTGAGAGGAAACGGACAGATTTCCATCTGTCTGCTTCATTTGCAAAAAAAAAGAAAGCCCTTCTTATGATTCAAATATATGCTTTAGCCATCTCTCCCTTCCCCTCCCGCCATCTTCTGTTTCTCCATCTCCATCCAAGTGGCATCTGTGGATGACCAGGGCATCAAGAGTCTCAAGGGCTGAYGGAGGAATAACGGAAGCAGGAGGGAAAGAGAGAGAAGGAGAGATGGAGAGGAAAAGAAAGAGGCAGCAAGCGCCTCACTTCATATTTCCCTAGCACCACCCCGGCGTGCCAGCCAGCCTGCAGTCTGTTCTCCTTTGAGCTTTCTATTCTACTACTGAACAGAAAAAGGAAAAAAAAATCAATTCATATTTCCATAATCCACACTCCTGTCTGTCTGCATGTCTTCGCCTCTCCCCCTCCTCCCTCCATCCTGTTCCGTCTTTCTCCCTGTTTCGGTCTCCCTCTCCCCTGGGGAAGACTAACCCCTCCACCTCCGTCCTACGGCCTACAAATGTCATTACCCTGCGCAACAATAACAGCCTAAACAAAAGGAGGCCTTGCTCTGAGCCCTGAGCCCCTCTGTGGAGACTGTTGGTTGCTGCTGCCATATGCTGGCCAGCTCAGGCCACAGAAGATAGAAACTGTGGCTAGAGGACTCCAGCCTTCAGCGGCACAAAGGAGGAAAAGAGCCTTAATCCTGGTAATGAGGCCCGTGAATACAGGCTTTATGTATACAGGGGAAAGGGCCAATCCCTTTGTACACAGCACGCTAACTAGTCTTCTTAAGGGCCATCTTATCCACACAAACGATCTGGTTGACAACTGACTGACAGAAAAGTAAGGTTGTGGGGGGCCATGTTGATAAGATATGATGAAGAGAAGCGATGAAGCCCATGTAAACACAAACACTATTTTTAAACTTCTTTTTTTATTTTTTATTTTTTTGGTTTCAGCTGATATCTATTTTTTTAAAACCATGTTTTCTTCAGTCTTTTCCTGTCCCTGCCTCTGTAAGGCTGTTATTTCTCTCGCTCCCTCTYTCCCTTTACCTCTTACTCTGGTAGCGTACTCTGGTTCTTGTGGGGCAGGTAGACATCGCCTGAAGCATCTTCATACAAGTCTGTTTATTCCTCAAAGTGGATCAGAGAAGCAGGAGAGCTGTTTAAACTTAGTAGCTACGCACTTTATGTGCAGTAAGCCTACATACATAAAGTTGTTTTTTTATTTCTCTCTTCGCTTTTGCTTCAACCTTTTTTTTCTTCCTATCTTTCAGTCAGTCAGCTGCTCTAGTCTGCTTCTGTCATTTTATTACCTGTTGGGTGCTGTGGACACTTTTGGCTCAGAAATAACAACCCTCTTCCATCATTTGCTAAACCAACCAAATGCAGGTGGAAAAAAACTTGTATGCTAGAATAAAGAGAGCCACTCCTCCTGATGTGTTTACAGTTGTGTGTGTACAGCACAGGAGATCATTTCAATCAAGTTAGATCTTAAATTGTTTTGCTCTGAAGACAGACAGGGGAGAAGGGAAAAAAATAAAAGACACCCTGCTGAGTTGGTGTATTTTTCTTTGGGGAAAGAAACGGTCCTTTAAATAAAATCCCATCAAATCAAGTGTGCAAACTGTCCCCTTGAGACAGCTGGTAACATCTGTGACTGGCATAAAGGATAATGCAGCTTTTGGGTTCYATTTTGTAGTTTAGTCCATCATTTTTATCAATGATGATAACGTGTTATTTACAAAGTTAACTGCACTGAAAACAAGTCACATGAGGCAATGAGGGCAAGCACTGAAGCAATAAATCAGTAAAAGGTTTTCTTTTTTTTATTCCCATTATAACAACTTTAAGATATCACCTCAGGAATGATTCTAAGTGAATTTTCTTTCACTTAAAATTTTCATTGCACGGAAACTAAAGGAAATTTTTAACATGAGGCTAAGACTGTTTTGATGCTAGACAAAAAAATTAATACATTTTAAAAATCACTAACCAAACTCTGTTTTTTTTTATTTACTTGTCATTTTGTTACCAATCTACAGCACTTGATTTGACTGTGTCTGCAGGAAACCAAGACAAACCATTAAACTTTGCTAATATTTGAAAATGTAAACATYTATTTAGGTTAGAAACTATTGTTCTGGATCAACTTTTACCAATTTTACTTGTTGCACTGATGGCTACAAATGGTTTTTGGGCAATCTTTGCCTTCTCAATCAGCTCTGGGTTCTTTATAACATGTGCTTGGTTATCACTAATGAATACTATCACTAATATAATAT